GGCAACAATTATGCTTATCCATAATAAACCTTCACTGTATTTTAAACAGAGAACTTGGCCTAAAGGATTACGAAATCTATCTGACACAATATTTAAAGTCTGCAGACCATGCACAACACCATACGTTCGTTGGTTAGGTGTCTCTTAGCTTTTGCACATTCCTTGTTTAATAATCTTAGACTTTTTACCTGGGGTTATAAAAATAAATACTCCAATTTATTTTTATTAAAAAAATAAATACTCCAAAATAAATACTTTTAAACACTCCAATACTTCACCAACTACTGAAGCTCTCAAAAATAAATTCTCGAAATTCTCGACAAATGCGGCAAATTCTCGTGCCACAATTATGAGAAAATGTGGTAGAAAATTTCTTCGTAAGTAAAGCCAATTTGGTCATATGACAGATATTATAATCCATTATTAATCGCATAATTTATGCTTTGCATTGAAATAAAATATATCACAAATTTTATCAAAAAAAATGTTATATTTTTTAATAAATTTAAATAAAATATCTTGTTGAAACAACCTTTACATAACTTTGATATTTAAACACCTCTAGCATTTTTATTTCTACATCATGCTCTTGTGTATATTGTCGTACTTTGAATTGTTCCATTGATTATAAAATTATAGAATATTTTAATATGAAGTAATTTACAAAATTTAATCTCATTAATGCCAAATTTATCGTGTATACATCATTTTAAAATACCACCAAATTATTTAATTATTGAAATATAATGCATAAAATAGAATGTAATTATAATTAATATATATTCTTGAGGAATTTTTTACCAAATCAGATCTAATTAAAATTTAAATAAATAACAAAAAATACTGATTAATTCAATTTAAATAATAAATTTTTAATAAATACTCTTTTAATAAAATAAATTTTAAATTGATATTATTATTATTAAATACATTTTTAAATTGAATTGAATTTTTTAATAAATAAATTTTTACTTATAGATCAGAAAACTATTTTTTCAATAATATGCTGCGACTTCATTTTTAACATTGTTTAATATTAAATAAAACCACTGGATATAAGTTTATATTTTAGGATTTTATATAGTGGATTAAAATATGTGCATGTAATGTCAATATTTCATATTAATCTTTTGACAATTTCATGCAAATACATTTTGACAAAGCTAAGTACCATTGAAATAGGAAAAAGAAAATAGAATGTAATTATAATTAATACATATTCTTAAGGAATTTTTTACCAAATCAGATCTAATTAAAATTTAAATAAATAATAAAAAAATACCGATTTCATGAATTGAAATTTTTATTTATATATAGAAAAAATATTTTTGATATATTAAGCTGACAATCCATTTGTTTTATATTATTTAATATGGCATAAAACCACTGGTTGAATGCTTCTATTTCAATATTTTATATTGTGGATTAAAATATATTCGTGTAAAATGTCGATATTTCATATTAATCTTGAGGCAAATTTATGTAAATACATTTTGACAAAGCTGACTACGATTGAAATAGGAATTCATGCAACATAAATTCAAAGATACTGGAAAATGAGGAGCTATTTTAGGAAAGAATTTATTAAAAGCTCAATGCGGAAGAGCCATGGTAAGTACAAGAATTCCAAATACATTTCGAAGGTATTTTGAGAATGCGCTCTTTGAATAAAATTTTCATTGTAGTATTTGAAAAAGTTAATCCCTATTTCAAAGATAAATTTTACTCATTTTTTATAAAAACTATTTTTAAAAAAAGTACACAAATCTTACAGTCCTTTAGTGTATAATTTATAGAATTAAAATGGATTACTTGTCATTACCGTTAAGTAATACTTATAATGTAATACAATTATTGAATAATTTAAAAATCGCCTAGAAAATTAGCCTATTTAAAATTAACATAATACGGTATGCACAAAAACATTTTTGCAGTACATTTATTTTAACGTTATCAAATTTACAACATATATTTTTTTTTGTTCTAATGCAGCTGGCAAACACTTAGACAGCTTGGTCTTGGATGCCTTAAGGCAAGCTCTGCATAGACGTTACTCACTTTGCATTACCCAGGGGGGGGGCGTGTAACTTGAAGACACGGACGCGGAGTAACAATGCCCCCGCAAAGCTCTACGATCCTATTAGGGCCGGGACCTACGGTGAAAAGTGGTTTCCGAACCACTACAAACATCCATGGCACCGCCGGGACTCGAACCCGAAACCTGTGGTACCGAGCGCCAGAGCGTTAGCCACTCGGCCATTCAGACCCTAATTTACAACATATCTGCAACTACAGAAATTCGAATTTGTGAAAAAGAAAGTCTCCTTTTTACGACAAATGTTTTCAGACATGTTTCAAATGTAAATATCTATAATAGAATTCATATTGAGCTGATTGACAAAGTTACTCCAAGTCTTCCAAAAATAATTTTCAAACTCTTGTAAATTACATGAATTCACTGATTAAGGACCTAATACAATTCTTTTAATAAAGTCAATTATGCATTCCTTCAAGAAACATACAATTCCTATTGTTGTCCATCCATTGTTAGATTATAAGTAGATACATGTTACAATTACTTTTCATAAGTACGTCAGAAAATAATGTAAGTTCTTTTGGAAACCAATTAGGGATGAATACTCTACACTTTTCTTTTCACATGAAAACACTTTTATGGTTTTTTTTTCGACAGAAATATTTTCATGAAGAAGATTGTTAACCAAATTCCAAAATATTGCACCAGTTTTTGACAATTTTGCCAAGACCATTTTACGTTTTATATGCATCTTCTGGTTGATTTCCAAGATTCTAATTTTAAAACGTTCTCGAATCAACCAAGACACATATTTTAATAAAATATTTTACTCTATATATTACTCATATTTTATTCTACAAACATAAGTCTTCATATTTGTAATATATTGACAAAATGAACATCAATCTCTAAATGCTCGTCTAATATTTCTCCGAGATTAGGAACCTATTTTTTGCAATTTGCAACAAACTTACCAAATCAATTATGTATTGGGGAAAGTTTGTTCCGTTATTTTCTAAAAGGACGATCTTTTATATCATCAAATTTTCAACATCTTTATCAGAAGTAAAAAAAATTTAATATACGATTTGAGGTAATATATTAAAATCTAAACGATAAATAATCCAAGGTATGTGAGCATTTACAAGATTTAGGAATTCCTGTTAAATTGGATAACGATTGTAAGTCTGAAATATTTGTGAGCGGTAATTCTTTTGTGTTAAAAATTTGCAGCAATTGGTTTCATGAAAATATTCATACAGTACACAATAATTTGTATGTTTGTTTCATCAAGAACCTCCAATGAATCGAGTGGCGAAGACAGAAATTTTGATCATGACAATTTTATGAGCATGAGCCCTTAAATGTTGCGTCGGTTTATTTTTACTTCATTTTATTGCTTCGTATTTCCCAAGGTAGTGACTACCGGACTCAAAAACGTGATTCGTTGTTTGAATCAAATTCTTCTTCAGAATTCGAAAAATGCTCTCTCTGAATTGATTATTTCTCCATCTTCCTCATTAATGAACGACTTGATAGTCAAGCGGCTAGCGCTCTGACCTTTGGTACCACAGGATTCAGTTTCAAATCCTGGCTGTGACGGTGACATAAGTGGTTCGGAATCCAAATTATACAGTAGGTCCAGGTTTACTTATCCTAAAGTGTACACAAAATGATCGTAGAGCGACAACCAAACCAAATCCTCATCAGTTGACACATCATAGTCCCTAACTTCTTTATTCTTTATGATTCTACTACAACTACTACATCACAACACATCACTGTGCTTAGAACTGAGTTGCCCCTATACAGTTTGGGACTGATGTGGATGAGAAGTCTGATTGGGCTCTACAACGCTCTACCGTCACATGAGACCGGCACCTACAGCTTAAAGTGGATTCCGAATACCTGTGGTACCCAGTGCAGAGAACTAGCCACTCGGCATTCAGGCCCCACTTCTTTAGAATTCAATTAACTTCTTTAGTAATCAATTGGGCCTTACAACCTTTGCCAGATCTTAAACATTAACACGAGTACATACATCGGATCCGAAATAAATTATTAAAATGCCTGTGGATGAATTTAGCAATTTCAATGGTAGTAATCCCGTGCACTGATTTTATGTAGCCCGAATTTGCCAAGCCCAGCGCACATGCTCGCAGATTTACTTTTAGACTCTATCCAAGTAGTTTGTTTACATAAAACATTAATTGCTTCCTGCACTTTAATAACATAATACACACTAGTATTTAATTATTTTTTATCTCCTAGTCATCAATTGCATAATTTAAAAAAAAATTTTTTTTTAATAGGATACAACTAAATAAATTTCTTCCAAGTTTCATGGCTCTCTGACCATCTCATCGGTGCCGCATGCTTTGGGTTCGAGTCCTGGCGGTGCCATGCATGTTGGTAGTGATTTGGAATTGACTTTAAACTGTAGGTCTCGGTCTGTTTAGTCTAAAGTGTGCAGAAGATGACAGTAGAGCGACAAACTAAACCTAGTATTACAGATTTTGATCTCTATTTTTTAATTTATTTTTGGTAATATTCTCTTTCCTGCACTTTAATTATTAAATTATGTATTGAAGGTACAGGATTGATTAGCTTAACATACGTCTAACTTAAATGAATTTACACTTTTCACTTTGAGGTAGCAGTGCTTCTAATCTTTGTGTTGTTGTTTGTTGTCTCTTATCCCACTTGGCTGGCCAAGCCCACGAGCCCATACGGACTCATGATTGAAGGGGAAGGAAGCAGCTTCTGTTGTGATGGAGCACCCGTAGGTAGAAGTCTGACTTTTGCTCCGTGACGCTCTTACAGTCATAGAAGACTGGGACCTATGGCTTAAAGTGGATTCCGAACCACTACAAACATCCATGGCACCGCCGGGATTCGAACCCGAAACCTGTGGCACCGAGCACCAGAGCGCTAGACACTCGGCCATTCAGGTCCCAAATTTGCCAACGGCACGCGGTGTTCCCAGGTGGTCACCCACCCAAGTACTGACCGCGCCCAATGATGCTTGACTTCGGTGATCTAACGAGAACCGGTATATTCAGCATGGTACGGCCGTATAATCTTTGTTGATGATGACGAAACTAACTCTAAAACTAAATCTTTGTTGATGATGATAGACACATTAGTGTACTTAGTCAAATTCTCTAACATTAATATATAATATGCATAATACAGGTAAAATATTCCAAAACAATAATTGCTTGTATCTTTCATTTTAACGTTATTGTATAAAGATAAAATAATTCTACTTAAATTCAAATCAAAGAAAAAAAAATTAAATTCATTTCTGCAGACGAATTAATTTTTTCTATAAAAAAAGTTCTTAAACCTGCATAAATAATACAACCATTAAAATAAAATTCAAGTACCTCAAATCATAGAAAATCTAACTTATCATATAGCGAGTATCGGACGCAAGATTGGTGATGATAAAATAGAAATAACATTGAATATAATACTACGCTCTATCAAATCTAAACATAATATCCTTGCAACGAGCTGTTTATTTATCGCAGATTGTTTGAATAAGATATAACTTGTGAGTATGTAAAGCAACAGGAATTCCTGGAGATGATGTACTAGTATTACTACAAAATAAAAATTAGATTTCTATACTATCTTTTAACGACTTTGATGCGAAGAATGTTAACTTTTTTAACTATAATACAATATAATTTAAAGTATAAGATTTTTTTATTAGCAGTTCAGTCATTGTTCGTAAATTTAATTATACTTATAAAAGAAAATAAATATATATCTGTTACATGAATTTTCAATATCGAGGCTTCGAGATTTCAAATTTAAAAATATGATTTAAAATTCATAGTGGCTTTATTAGTAAATAAACATTGATAGTAATATCATTTTGATATTTTAGTATGCTTATATAATTATCAACTCTGATATATATATATATATATATATATATATATATATATTTGTAGCATTTCGTTCCCAGGCGAAAGGAATGTATATTCTTTAACAAATACATAATAACAACCTATCACTGAAATTTGAGTGCAGATCAGCAGTGCTATAGATATTTATATTACATACAATTGGTGCTCTGTACTAATGAGAACAACCTGTCACTCAAATTTCATAGCAGATAATCAGTGTAATGAATAATGGGACTTCATGAAATTAGTGATTGTATGTTTGACCTTCACAGGTCGAAACAATTGCAGATGTGATGTAGGCTACGTGATGAGAATTGCTGCATCGGGTTTGGTGGTAAACCATGTCTGAAGAAGTATTGACTCAAACAAGAAGTGAAGGAAGCTGACCCCCTCCCCCCTCTTGACGAATTTTCTGAAAGGGGGGTTTTTAGTCTATTTGTGTAGCACAGGCAGGGATGTTACAATATATATATATATATTATATATATATATATATATATATATATATGTGTGTGTGTGTGTGTGTGTGTGTGTGTGTGTGTGTGTGTGTGTGTGTGTTCAACAAAAATGAATGAACTGTCGAATATTTACCAATTTAATAACATATATTACTACAGTAAGTAAATTGACGTTGTGTAAACGAAATTTTAATATTGCACAATCCAAATTTTTAATTTTTTTTTAAATTTTCACTTCAAACAGTTATATTTCTATATTACAATTCTTAATTTTTTGTCTTATTATAAAACAAAAAATACGAGTATTAACATAATTTAGTATTTATATAAAACCCTTTAAGTTGTTATGGAAGTATTTGTTATTAAGATAAAAGTGCCACATTGCTCATTGTGAAAAAAAGGCAGCCCCGCTTCCAATTTTTAATCCGATAGTAGGTATCTAGTTTTAATATATTCGAAAAAAATACCACTGGATTATTTTAAATTTGATGTATATTAAACATCTAGTTTATGCTACGAAAGTTATTATTCCTTATTAAGGTATAATATAGATGGCTTTTTTGCTTTGCTTACAAATACAGCCATCTATGTAATATAATATAACCAATAAGAATCTTTACTAACCACATATGGCATTCTAGTTCCTCAGGGTATAAGATTCAACCCAAAAAAAAACCCAGATCTTTTTATTCCTAATCATACGATAGAAGATGGAATTTTGGTTTTTGGAGCTCTTCGGTCCCAAGAGTCCTCTGTCTTCTGTAAAAATAAATCAGACATAAGTATATAGATATTGCCCAAAAATTTGTTTATTAATATGACCATATCCATCAATAAATTTTAAAATTTATGGGTGAAAAATGGGGTACGGAATTAGAAATTTAGCCGAGAAATCTTCTTGATCTTTTCCTACTAAGTCTTTTCCTACTACTTTTGAAGAGTAAATTTCAATTTCTTGTAAGACATCGATGTGGTAACAATGAATATTGTCAAAGAATCCTTGAGAGATGGATTTGACGATTATTTAAAAAACGGAAATTTCAATTAATCACTTAAATATCTTCTTTTATCATCAACCATCTAGCGTTTGTAAGTGGTCTAACAACAGTGCTTCTAGTGTATCGACTTGTAGGAAATTTGTATCAGGCTGCTGGTCTCAAATTGACTAGATGTAGAATAATATGGGTCCTAGTAAATCGGGTCTTAGGCTGATCATAAAAGGGTTGTAAAGGCTGACATCAGAATTTCTGCAGCTAAAGGGAAGGAGGGCGGTTTTATCCTGGTATCATAAAATTTGTTTTTATAATCGTGCCTAGACAATTTATCAGGAAAAATAAATAACATTATATAAATGAAGATAGCTATGCTTGAATCTGCAAACTAAATTAAAATCAAATACTTTTTTTTTTCTAAATATAAGAATATTTTAGTGAAGGTAAAAGGTAATTACCTATCAGTTATCTATAGTATCTCAAAACTATGCCTATTCTCATTTATTTTTTTTATTTTCTTTAAAGTATCAATTTTCAATTTGTCTATAAATTTCGTTTCGTTGTATGTGAATACTCGAATATCCATGATAAGCACAATCTGCTAGTTGTTTCTATTTCAGGATTTCATTCAATTATGCAGTCATATAATAGCGGATTCTTCTTGAAGAATGAATAAGAAATCACAATTTCCATTAACTGTAGTATAAGTGTTTTGAGATATTATTCAATTTACTGATACTCTCAAATATATTGAGTTAAGCAGTGAAAAATGTGATTAACTTTCAAAGAAATTTATAGGTAAATAATCTTCCTTTCACGATAATTTCATTCACAAATTATTGCAATTATTGCAAATATAAAATTGTCCCATTGAATGTAAATAGTCGTTTACTGTTTTGTTATCTTTCAGACCATATAAATAACTTTAAGTGGTTGATGCTTGTGACATGCGTGTTCTGACAGAAGAGAAAATACAATTATGAAACTTCAAAAACTAAATCAAAATAATGGCACGAATTTCATGTAACATGGCTTAATCATGCAATGCAATACAAAAATTATTTTATTTTGAAAAAAATTTAAAGCAGACCTCTGTACCTAGTACAAATATTATAACAAAAGGGGGCAAGTTTGGCTTGCCCACCATACGTGGACAATCAAAACTCATCCACAGAGACTAGCCATCTATTGGTTGTTCAATGAAAAAGAGTTATATAAGTAACAGAAAAATCTTCAATCATACCTTAAAACTATAAGAAATTAAATACTTATGGATATTTAAAGCATGTCTCTGTACCTAGTACACGTATTATACCAAAAGGATGTCTCTCAATATGTGGGCAAGCAAAACTCATTCACAGAAAGACGAATAATCTAGAGTATGCTGCATGAAAGCTTGATTTTGAATACTGTTGGTTATTCTTTCTGGCAAATGCATATGTTATATATATTGTGATTAAGACAAGTCGCCTATGATGGTAAGGTAAGCTGAATGAAAGCATGCCTTTGAACACTATTGGTTGTTTTTTCTGTCAAAATCTTATATTAGATATTATGATTAAGACGCGTCATCTATTGTATTAAGGTAAACTAAATGAAAGCTTGACTTTGAACACTATTGGTTGTTTTTTCTTGCAAGTGCTTCTATTAGATATTGTGTTAAAACTAACAAAAAAAAATATTTTCCTGATATAGAATTAATATTAATATGCCTCCCATGATGTAAATGATGATAGTAAATTATTTCATCTATCTACATAAATAAATTCTGAGTTAATTTCGATTTCCTTCCTTGATTTATTATCTGTAGCGATCAATTTTAGAGTAATACATTAAATCCATTATCAATCGGAAACTTTATAAATATCTTCAAACAATTACCATTTGACTTTCTCGAAATCTAGGTCTTGACAAATCAAGCGCTTCCATCACGGCAGACAGACAGACGTGGCTGAAAAGTGACTTGAATCTCAAATATCATTTCATTGAAAGTTATTAAATTCTGAATATTAAGTTCCGGTATCTCATGTCCAATAACAAACCGCAGCCTACATTGCGAATTGAATGTTAAGACGCAGTCAAACAGTAATTGGCGGAAATGCAATTCTTTGCAACTTAGTTGTCGGCGGATGAAACCGATTCTTTGCTGGAATTTCCATATCCAAAACGTATTCGATTTCAAGGGAAGCGAATTGCTCATTCAATTATTGGGAAATAATGGCCACGGATATGGTGACAGTGAATTAGCCACGTGCGTGATTCATCAAGCATTAGCAGTCAGAGAGGTAATTCGGGGGTAATTCTATTCCATTCTATTACTGATGACGCATTTCATTGCGTCGATTAAAATGTTCTGCAAGTAATAAATATTCTGTTTTTTGGAATGCGATGTCTGTTTTATTATGTATAATTTTAATTATGTGTCAAGCATAATCGAAAGATTGCTTAGGTATATATAAGTATATTGTGTTTGGGACTGAATGGTCGAGTGACTAGCGCTCTGGCGCTCGGTACCACAAGTTTCGGGTTCGAGTCCCGGTGGTGCCATGGATGTTTGTAGTGGTTTGGAATCCACATTAAACCGTAGGTTTCGGCCGACGAAAGTGGGCCTAGAGTGTGCAAAAAAATGTCTAAGTGTGTATTAAATAATTAATTAGCCTAAATTGTGCAAAAAAAATAACCGTAGAGGGACAAATCAAACCAGTAGA